AGTCCTGTGAAAAATCCTACACAGTAGGTGGTGATACCTTCACCTCTGTATTGTGGAGGTGGTTGATGATTTTAGTAGCAGTTGTTTTCAAGTTCTTCTTCACTGCACTAATCATTCTTCTATTATAGACTGCAGCTGCTTTCCTCTGTGGCTGCTGATTGGAAAGTGGTTTATCTCTTTTCAAGACATTATAAATTGTTGATTTTGCCATGCCAAGCTGACACACTAGAGTTTTAATTGAATTCTTTTTTTCCTTTTAAAGAATCAAACTGCATGTTTTTCTTTCATAGCCAGCTGTTTTTGTTTGACACAAGCCAACTGACTTCAAAGGCAGGAAACAAAAGGAATTTTAAAATTCAACACTATGCATTTGCAGTGCTGTTATCTGTGAATGGAATGCTATCCATTATTGACCAGTCCTCATGCTTACTGAAAGCAGAAGTACCACAGAAATAATTTAGAATGACATAAATTATAGAAATATGAATGTCATAAAAGGTGGAACAGAAGGTTTTATAGTTTTGTTTTATACACATCTTTTTTTGTCTCAAATCTAAACTGTTTGACTGTTCTGTTCTTATGATGGACACACTGTAAATGAAACCTTTAAAGATGCATGGCCACACAGCTTTCTGTGTCAGATCTAGGGTCAAACAGGTCACATGCTGCCTATGTGTTATGTGCACAACTGCAATTTATGCACATTTATGCAATTTATGACCACTGGATGTACGGTGGATCACATATTCCATTAAGTTTACTAAAGTCTGGGCAACTAAGAGCAGCCTGATTTGCTTGGAAGTTTCCACAGGCATAAATTAGCAATACTGTCTCACAGGTGTGTTACTGGGAAACTTCCATTAACAACAGCAGAGGTCATTGCACAGATTAATACTTCAAATAATTTCAAATATTTCATAATACATATATATATATTTTCATAATACATATATAAGAGGGGAAATATGCCTTGATGCCACAATATGTGCTTACAATCCATATTACTCTTCCCTAAATGATATTCTTTATGCTATAAGAATGTTCTGGTGTCTAAAACTACACCCCCAGTTTTCCAAAATGTTGGGACACTGTGAAAAAATGTAATTAAAAACAGAATGCAATGATGTGCAAATCATTTAAACCTTATATTTAATTGAAGATAGCACAAAGACAGCATACAACTGTTTAAACTTTTCTTGTTCCTTGTTTTTTTGAAAAATACGTGCCTATTCTGAATTTAATGCCAGCAACACGTTCCAAAAAAGTTGGGTCAGGGGCAACAAAAGACTGGTAAAGTTGTGTGAAAGTTAATGCTAAAAAAACACCTGGTGGAACATCTCACAACTAATTAGGTTCACTAGAAACAGACCATAACATGACTGGGTATAAAAAGAGCATCTCAGAGAGGCTGAGTCTTTCAGAAGTAAAGATGGGAAGGGGTTCACCACTCTGTGAAAGACTGCACAGACAAGTAGTGCAATAATTCAAGAATATTGTTTCTCAATGTAAAACAGCAAAGAACGTGGGGATTTTATCATCTATGGTATATAATATAAAAGATTCAGAAAATCCAGAGAAATCTCTTTATGCAAGAGACAAGGCTGAAATGCTACCACCTTCTCTGGGCCGGAGCTCATTTAAGATTGACTGAGGGGAAGTGGAAAAGGTTAAAGGTCTTGTGGTTAAACGAATCAAAATTTCTAAATTCAAATCACCATTAATGCTGCATGATATATACAGGTTTTGGAGCAACATATGCTGCTATCCAGACAACACCTTTTTCAAGGAAGGCCTTACTTATTTCAACAAGACAATGCCTGCAGTCTAGATCTGTCACCCACTGAAAACATTTGGAGCATTTGAAATGAAAAGTATGACAATGGAGACACAAACTATTGAGCAGCTGAACTCCTTTATCAAAAAAGAATGGGAAAACATTTCAGTTTCAAAACAATTGGTTCCCAAATGCTTACAGAGTGTTGTTAAAAGAAAAGGTGATGCAACACAGTGGTAAATGTGCCCCTGTTCCAACTTTTATGAAATGTTTTGCTGGCATCAAATTCAAAATGGGCATATATATTTTTCAAAAAGAAATACGATTTCTCAGTTTCAACATTTGATATGTTGTTTTTGTACTATTTTCATTTAATCAAATCACTTGCATTTTCCCTTGTCTCATACTTGTTCACACCTCCCACATTTCGCAGAGCTTTTTCAGCCTCACATCTCAAAAGCATAGTACAGTTAGTAGGCAGTCCTATGTGCAGCTGCATGATTATCAACAGCCTGTTCACATACACTTATGTGTCCAAAAGAGTATATCAAACATTTAAGCGCATTATCCAAATTACAGTAAAATGCTGCTAAAACTGCACAGCTTTCTAAACATTGAAAGGATATCAATACTGTTCTTAGCACACACATGAATAGAAGTGAACTGTGCAGATAAAAGTAAGTGCCTTCATGTCTGGCATAAAATGTTCAGCTGCATTTTGCCTTTTGATGATTCAAGCACCATCCATCCAGAGCGCACCTATTAAGATCAATAGTCCAAAACAATAAAAACATGGCTTTTTTGAATCCACAAGCTTGAAGCACATTGCAGAGATAGCGTATCAAGTTTTCATTTTTAGTCATGTTACTAATGTATGTATTCTTCTTCTAGAGCTTATCCTGACCACATTCTCCTAAAAGTTGAAGGTAAATGTATTCTTCAAAGAACTCTGCCTTTAGTAAATACTGCTTTTATGACTCACTGAAGCTTTTAGAACTGGAAGAGGAATTCAATAGCAGAAATGCACTAGAGGAGGAATATGACAGCCCTGAGATAAGTGAAGCTGTCTCTACTTATTAGATAAGTGCAACATGCATCTTCATAAAATAGAGGAGCGCTCAAAATTGCTGCTCTGCCAGACAAGCCACTGAATTTCCACACTGGTCCGGTAATGTACATACATCTTCTTATGAAAGGCTGAATGACAGAAAAGGCAAGATGAGCTTAATGTGCATTCTTTCTAGATGTTTCCGTTATTTCTTTGTTGCAGTACTGTGATAAATATAAAATATCACATTTATAACACTATAAAAATAACACTAGCCAACTTGACTGCACTGTTATCATATTTCACAATATCACAAACAACTTTAATAACATGTAAACCACAAGACAAGGAAAAGTTCTAGGACTGGATATGTTTATGTGAGAAGAAAACTTCCTTTTATGACATGGAGAAGAAAATACCACTCCATGTGACATTTGTTGGAATCTATTAGACTGATTAAGCAAAAAATAAAATCAGGAATACATAATATATTTTTGGTTTTATCAGTACTGAAATCACATCAGTATCGATGCCAATAATGGTGCTTAAAACCAATATCAGTTTGTTGACAGGGATACCGATACCATGAGGCAATTTCTGGTGCCCACGCTCTCAACTGGGTGATGCGTGCATTTGTGCCAGTAAATGGACCTTAAAAGCATGTCGGCTGTGTGGATTGACAAGCAGCAGTAAAAATGCTGTAACACTAGTATTTTGTGGGAAGGCAATGGTAGTGGGTGATATAATAGTTGGAATTCTTCCTAAAGTATTAGTTTTGCCACATATAAGCCAAGTAATGCAATGCACAAACTTTAGCTGAATGGCTGAGCCAGGCTTCTTTCAGTAACCCCTTATCTCCCTCTGCACAGTCAGTTACCGTCTGAGTTAATGTTAGTTCAGGTTGTTCTCAAGGGAGCAAACTTTAGAGAGGCATGTGGAATAACCTGCCAGTCTCTTGGGGTAATGATAGCCTTTAGCCTTGATTTAGCCTTTACCAGAGCAGCCAGTAGCCAAGCTAGTGTGTCCACTAGCCCTGCCTGCAGTGCGCCTCCATCAGTCAACTAAATCAGACAGCAGAGTGGTCTTGGGCCTGGTGCTTTCATCAAGCCAAGAAATTGCTAAAACAGCTGGTATTGACAGTATAATTGATTGCAATATTACTAAACACCAGCAGAGTCTGACACTCAGAGATGTAAGCACGAGTGTACACGATGCATGTATAAAACAAATGACTTGAAGAATTGGATATGAAACCATATTTAGCACTGTTTTGCTGAGCTAGAGAAGCTGCTGCATGCTTACACATACACACCATAGGTTTATCTATATATTGTTCAGTTCTGTTTTTAACTATTTTGCACAATAAAATATTTTAACATTATGGTTTTAACTGTAACTAGTTATTGTAACTTTAATTACAATTATATTGAAAGCAAACATCTGCAAGCGATAAGACAGACAACAGTTTTGTTTGTGTTCTCTGAGAGAAACTTTCAAATGATCGTATATTTCAGTCATTTTGTCAACTTTTCAGTTTTTGATCATATCATTATGAACATATTATAGCTGTCAGCCTCTCAGTTTAAACAAAACTGTGTTCCTACATATTTTAGAAACAGAACTATCAGTTTTAAAACTGTTATTTTGATGGGTGTTTTTTGTGTCCTTGATTTTAGGCTTATCAGTACTCAGTTATGATAAAAAGAATTTGCCAAAATTTGCACCCAATCGGCAACCGATATATTATTTGCCAATCAATGGGAAAAATGAATCATTATTATTATTATCAGTCTGATACTAGAATTCCAGGTGATAAAGATGAGCATCTAGAAGTAGGTTATAATGCTCAAACTACTTATACACTTTTACTCCTCAGGAAGAAATTCACCACTACATAGAACATCACATCACGCAATTTGAGCACATACAATTTTTGGCTAGATTTGTTACAATTTAATAGATGCATTTCCCCACTCTGACTTCTGATCCAGCATCTACTGTTGATATCAGCTTGACACCAATACTCATAAACACAGATACGGCATCTTTAATTAGGTGTTATTCATATCTGCTTAGAAATTCCAAATCTGTATATGCCTAAAAGTCAAATTACTTGCTCAGTGTGTCCTGTAATTGTAGACATGATTGACAAAACAGTACAGATAAAAATGAGCTTACCTGATGGGGTAATGTGTCTCCAGGTGATTTTAGGTTCTGGTTTGCCACTGGCTGCACAGAAGAGTGAAATATTCCCGCCTTCATTTACCGTGATGTCCGATGAAATGTCATATATTTTGGGAGGAACTAAACAAAAAGAATACAACAAAACAATTGAGTAAATATAAATCTGCTGCTTCTTTTCTAATCATTTACATGCATTTAGACAATAGATTAACGATTCTTAATGTTCATTATTTTGCATAAGTGTCAGATTGAAAGCAGATTATCAGCAAAGAACTGCACAATCCATGCGGCTGAGAAAGCTCAAGCTGCAAAGCTACAAAAACTGTCTTAATGCTGCATTTTGTTTCACTACACTTCCACCCTCCAGCTTTGCTCCTTCAGAAGTCTACAACGTCAAAGGAAACTCATCCCCTGATGTTACTCTCCAACATAAAGCAGGCTGTAAACTGTCATAAGAAAGCAAAATCAACAAATCCCTTTGCGCCTTTGGAAGATGCAGTTCTAAACCCACACCATTTGCTCACTGTGGTCTGAACTGCATCCAACTTCGCTAGGCTAGTCTTCACTCCCTGTTTCATTCCAATCCAGTATTCTAAACAGCACAAATGTGCTGGGTGAAGTGCAGAGGGCACTTTTTCAAGAGCTTTCTTTCTTACTTTCTTTCTTTTTTTTTGTTGGGCAATGACTTGAGATGTAATTATCTTTTGCTTCTGCTGGAAATTCCAATTAATAGTTTTCATGACTCGTGCAGACAGATTTCTCACTGTGTGTGAGCATAATCAGCAGCACAGCATGTTGTTTTGTGAATATCATCATACATCATATTTTTTTTAAAGAACTAACCAACTTAATAGTCTTGTCAAAGCACTACAATTGAGCTATGAAGAAAGGCAAAAATCTGGCCTCGCTAAAAAGTAAAAGCAAACTTTACTGACACATTTTTATTCCTTAACATTAGGCTTTTGTCCAGTTATTACTTATTTACCATGATTTTTATATTTTATATTTTTTTACATTGATTTATTTAATACAAACCACTGCAAGACACTAGTACATTGGAACGTACCTGAACTTTCAAACATTCAGGTAATACTATATTCCACAGTAATCAACAAACACAACACATTTTCTTTGAGTAATTTTGAGACGATCCCTAACTAAGGAGCAAAGAAGGTGGTTGTGTGTGAATTTATGCTCAATCTTTGTCAAATAATGGCAAAGCTAAAGAAAAATGACCACTCCCTCCAAACCCCCAGCACCTGGTTTAATCACTTTTTGTGGTAATTTTTGATCTGAATAAGAGGATTCTGTTTCAGGCACAGGCACAAAAAAAGAAAAACAATTAATGTATCTTGATTAAAATAACTTTGTGATTGTTTTCAGAACCCCCACTAGAAAATTTACCTTCTACTACATTAAAGCAGGATTAAGCATGAAGCTCAACTACCCACAGGGCTCAATTCAGCTGACTGCATTAAGCTCTTTCTACATTCTTAATGTATCTATAACCTGATGACACTGCAGATCTTAATTCAATTTACTGTCATAAAGTACTTGAACCCTTTCTGAAAGTCTGAAAGCCATGTGTTATTGCCTATGGGTTTACACAGACATATTATTGACACATGCCTACAGTAACTGATAGCCCAAATGGAAAATATTGCATTTGTCTACTGATCGTATCATTCTTTAACAGGATCAAGACCCCTATCAGTTCATGCTGAAGAGTCACTCATGATTCAATGGCTTAAGGGAAATAGTTTTCGAAATGGGCGGAAGGCTTTGAAGCTTTATCTGTATGTCCTAAGCAGACCGCTAAGTAATTAATCATGACCCAGTTTCTCAAAGTCATCGCAGTGATAAAATCATCTCAGCTGGTAGAGAGCATGGTCAAAGTGGTACTTGCTGTACCACCTTTCACTGCAATGCGTTTGGAAAACGGGGCGCAGATGAATTCCGAATAGATTTCGCTGCAATTTATGTTCACAAGGACCGAGATTGCCTGCCTTAAGGCACACAGGCTATTTTGCCACCTTTCATCGCGTTCTTATAAGCAAAGTAGTGTAACTAATAATGAATCAGGGGTTTAAAAGTTGGAGTTGCAACTATTTACACTTCACTTGCTCACCAAGAACAGGGACGTAAACCCAACGTAAACGAATACATGGACAGCATTTCACACAAAGAACACTCAAAGTGGCAGATTAGAGTTTCATTTGTAGTCGTGGTGTGTGACCCTCGTGAGCAACCCTCGGCGGGATATTTGGAATTGAACACCATGCTTTGAAGTAGCTGTAGAAGAGGCTGAGAGCACCGGAATGTCACCACAAACAGCTGCAGAGGTCAACAAGCCAGCAACCCCAGCTTTTTTACCTTTCCCTGAGTACATAATGAAAGTAAATGTTACTTAATCTCTAACTCAAGGACTACCATTATTATGTCTCCTCCATAGCTCCTCAGACTCTTTGAATCCTCACCAGCCTCCCACTTCAAAGCCTCCAGCTGCTGTTATTTTTATCTTGTTTATTTCCATTCTGTCTGCCCTGGTCACACCATAGCATACAATGGGAATACAGGGAAAATAAAGATAAAATATTATAGCTATTTCCAGGGCCTCATCAACGTGTCAAATCAACATGATTTTTGTTCTCCATTCTATATTCTTTAAGCACCAAGAGATTGTCATGTTCACCCACATCCCCCCGACCCCCCCGCAGCCCCTGCAGGAGGTGCTGAGATGGAGCTGCCACTGTTGATGGGGAAGGCGTTATCTGCTTACCAGCTCCAGAGTGAATAAATAAGCTTCTAATGACGCCACTTTGAAATTCAGAAACGCTTACAGCTGCACTATTAAAATGCAGGGTTTCCTCGGCATAAAGAGGAGAGCATGGCTTTCCTTTCCATGGATTCTGACAGGTTCTCTAGAGCCGACTGCTGCCACCAAATCCAAGACCCCATTACTTCACACCTACTGCCAACCCACATTCCAATTACGGAGTCGAGGAAGATGTGGGCTCCTGTCATAAAGCAGACTAGCACGTGTGAAGGCTTGAAAGGAGACAAGGAAAATTCAGATCTCGACTCATTTGTTTACAGCGCATTTGTCATTTTTGCGTCTACACAGGTGAAACTTGAGGCACAGCCCAAACCATATAATGTGTAGCAACAAAACTGACATATACGGCTACAGTTTTATGCTGTACTTGTAATGGTAATTAACCATGACTAGAGTCAGATGAATTCATTTACAGCATGTTTGAACCATATGCAGTTTTAATATCTGTCAGGTCTGCTTTCGCTTAGCTTAGCATAAAGAAAATAAATCTACCGCAGTAGCTGGCTGACATGTCTCCAAATTCAGGGGAAACAGATTCTCTAACAAGAACAGTTCTTGACAAATGACTCATGGAAATTGCAAAAGAATAAGAAAAGAATAAACGATGCATCCTACACACAGGAGTGTGCCCTCTATTAACCTTAATAGGCGTGCACACCCCGTCAACAGAGACTATCCTAAATTATTTTTTCTCCAGTGGAAAAACAGCCAGTAATTTAAGCTGCTCGATTAAATGAGTGAACTCCTATCACTATCACTACATTCTTCCAAGTTGGAAAAAAAAATAGTCCCTGAGAAAAAGAATTAGTCGTCTGAAGTCATTATAATCTAAATAGACCATAGATAGCACATAGACAGAGGTCAACGCCTCTTCACAGTTTCCAAGCACACACTGTTCTCCATAAACGTTGAAAAGATTAAGAATTAATATCATAATCTGTTCTGGTAAGGTGCAAAAAAGGCTCGTTTGCTCAGACTGTGTTTATGAATTCAGTCACGGTGTGCCAGAGAACATTCTGGCTTTTCATAATTTCCAGAGCTTTGCCAGAACGCTCTCTCAGAGTGTCAGAGGACTGCGCTCTGTAAGCAGCTAAAAGGCTGAGGTGGCTGCAGTGCTAGTCAAAGCAGTTAGCCATTTCAAACGGTGGCCATGGTAACAGGCACCAGGCGAGACGGCAAAAGTTCACTTTTATTGGCTCTGTTTTGGGATCGCTACTCTAATATTAGCAAAAACATGCCTGAATGAGCCTAATGAACATCCTCACATATTTTATGCATTTGCTTAATTATGCCTTCATGGTTGTCTAATTTCGGATGAATTCAGCCTCACTGAATCAGTCAAGATAGTGAAGACCAAGCAAAACGAAATTTTGCAACATCTGGCCTTCCCCCCAGTGTCTAATAAAGCAAAATGCCAAAGACTGCAGTGAACACCACAGTCCCGAGCATGGCATGCATCCAGCTTAAGCAGGGTGACAGTCACTACAATCATTTTTAAGCACCATACTGGAGAAATTGCTCTAAATTCTACCTGCCAGTGCCACTGGAACAAACGCAGTCGCCTCTAGAATATAAACCAGCGGTTAGCAAATTGCACTTTCTATGCTAAGACGGACTCTCCGCTCATTCTTACAGGATTCCAATTCCCCATACAAGCTGCAGGCTGTAAAAACAAACCAAGTTAAATCCCTTAATTAGGTGTCAGACACAGGAAGAAAACACAAACACTGACAGCCTGCATTACCCAATGGGATTTCTGCAGTTTGCAGTGCCACAGTGGTAAAGCACACAACCTTAAGTGGATGCCACACAATGCAACATGATGAAAGTTGCTGATTTTAGTTTCATGCATTTATGGAAGAAATTTGATCATTACAACCGACTATTTCAGTGCCATCCAACTGCAATCAAACCCATATGAAGTACGAAAAAAAAGACAGAGTGAAATTTCCTCTTAGAATGTAGCACTATATCTTAACACTGACAATACAGTCGTATGCAAAAGCCTCAAACAAATTGCATTTTGTTGATTTTCTACATGAAACACAGACATTTATTTACTGAATTTAACACATTGAGTAAAAATAACCCATAAAAAGTGGCACATTTTATATTTATGTTTAATTTCTTGCCAATTTGTTAAACTTAGCAAATAAATTGAAGCTGTGAACTAAAATATGTAGAAAAATGTTTAAAGAAAAAATATCTAAGTTTTCTGCAGAGGCTGTTTTCACTTAGAAAATCAACAAAACGTCGATTTCAGGATCGTTTAACTGCAACTGCT